GAATAGAGGCAGCTGTAAAAGTATATAAAATATTAACATTGTTGGATTATTTATTTGCTTATTTATTTATCTATGTAATCGTTTTGTTTTGTTTGTTTGTAGTTTTTTTTAAGTCCCCAGTAATGTATAAAAATAATTTCAAAAAATAAAATATTAATAGTTAATAATGATAATAACAATAATATAATATGATGATAATAATAATAATAATAATAATAATAATAATAATAATAATAATATTATTATTATTATTATTCATTTGTTTTCTGATGCTTTTAATCAGAGCCCCACAGCATATTATTATTTATCCCTCAGTAAACATACACTTGTCAGACGTGTATCATTTCTCCTTGGGGATCAAAATGACCCGAGCAATAACACAAAAATGCAAATCAAGAAATCCAGGAGTGATATGTGAATTTTGTTTTACAGGAGTGGTTCCCTCTCTCATAGTCCATATCAGAGGAGTCATTCTGCTTTTCGGCCTGCATCTCGCAGAACACCACCCATAACCAGAGGATGTCTCAATGCCATTGGTGGAGCAAGAGATTCTGGTCCTGCCTACCAACATCTCCAGGAAGTAGACAGCTCAGAGAGGGAGTCAGTGAGAAGGTTAGTTAGCAACATTCATTTGCTACAGGTCAATGAGCTTAATGCTAATTATTTAATGCTTATGCATAGTCCTAGCCAATGGATTAACCCGATGGATTAAACTCTAGTTTGTTATCTCTGAGGGAATGCATTTATGCAATTAAACTGCATGCAAATTTTTTTTTTTTTTTGGTGGTGGTGTCCATGAGTCAGTTCTGGTCAGTGGCACTGTCTGCTCTCTCTGTCCTCTGATTTATGTGCCAATCTGAAGTTTTAAACAACCACTCCTGCCAAACAACCCCCAAGGCAGTGGCCATTCTTACACTTGTCATTTTTTTCTGTTTCTCCTACTGCATATTAGATCTGAATTCAAGACAAGAAGTTTTCTCCAGGTTCATTATATAAAGATTTATTTAATTGTTTGCTTGTTTGCCTGGACCACTTTTCAGCAGCAATGCTCCCCCGCTGCTGAATCTATACCACCACCTCCAAATCTTCAGCATCACAGTAAAATAAATTATATTTCATATCTGAATTGTGAATGTGAGTGCGCAGTCTGTGTTCAATGTGATGCAATTAAAATGTTATGTATCAAAAAATAATTACATGAAATGTCTTTCTATTGACCTGCAAAAACAAACATGCATTCAACCAGTGTATACAAATTCACAAACAAATGACTCTTTTAAATTGCTTATTTTTAATGAATAGTTTTTAGACTGATTCATAAACAAATTATTCTTATGAGCTAGTTATTTTTAGGAAATCATGAAAATACAAAGCAGTTCAACAATTGACTCTCATGGCCCGGTTCCGGCCCGCTTTCAACTAATTTCAAACTAATGTCAAAAAGACAAATTAAAAAGAATGATGTGAGGGGGCGCTTTAAAAACATTGTCACATTTTTACAGAGTGATTATAAGTTAAATTAAGTATTAGTTAAGGTCATGACGTATACATCTCCAACACTATAACCAGTTTTGGACTTGCTGTAACAGTCAGATATACACTTTAAAAAATAAATTAAATAAAACATTTGCAAAACTAATTCAACACCCAATGCAAACTTTACTGCATGATGTAATCACTTGTGGGCAGGGCCATATCTCATGGTTCTAAGATTAGTGGTATGTCACTGGTAAGGTTGGCTTTTTAAAGTGTGATAATATACATTTACCCAGAGTATATCTTTAATTGTTTTGTGTATGTGTCATAAAGCCTGTTTTATAATTGCTCCCAAGTTTTGCCATAAAGCCTGCTTTATAAATGCTCCCAAGTTTTCCGTGGCGAGCATATGCATTTGTTTCTATGCTGGCTGCAGGAGCAACAAGCGGGCTTGTCTGAGCTCTATTATTGAAGTTCTGTATGCAGGCATGACTCACTAGACAGGAGGGCACTGGGGAGTGCTGCCTTTTCCAGGAGCAGCACAGCTAATAAAAACCACACTGTCATAGCCAATTAAACACCCAGTGATATATCAATGGAATGGGCAGTCCTGGATGAATTTGCTAGAATGGGCCAGCCATCAACTCTCACACACTATAGGCTGTCCTGGCCCACTTAGTCCTCGTTTGCTATACAGGACAGCTTTGTAGTGTGGAAGACTCCACCTCGCCTTAAAATCTCCTACAGGTTCTCAGCACTGACCTATTTCCAGCCTTGCAGCCTGCATAAGAGTATTCCTCTGCTGGAGACAGCTCTGTTACCATAGAGACAGGCTGGGATACGGGACAGGAAAGAGAAGGAGAGAGTGGGAGCGAGACAGGAGAGGAGTGACAGAAAAAAGAGAAAGACAGAGATAGAACTGTTTTGCATATGACAGCAGAAAAAAATCGTGGCTGTCTCATTCCTTCCGTTCCAGAAAGCGTGCTGTTATCTCACTAAAATGGCTTACGGAGGGCACAGATTTTGCACAGTGTTATAGCTCCCAGTATTTTTAGATAGGAATGTACCTGTCAGCCCCCCTGTAGGTCATCTGGATTCCCTCGAGCTGAGTTCTTAAGCAAGTACATAGACAACATTTATAATTGCTTACTCATATTAAGTCCGGCTGTTATGTATAAAACTATCCGGAGGACTTAAATTCCCAGTTTGTGGTGTACCTCCTATCTGATCATCGACACAAGGCTATTTTCCCAGTAGCCGATTTCCTTGGACAAAGTTGGTTTCTAAAGTCTGACCTCATCAGCTGCATTTCTCTCTTACAGCAAGTGTCTGCTCATTAAAATGTTTTCAGTATGACGCTTTCAAAGATGAGGGCTGTTCATTATACAGGACTTCAAAACATGCCCCGAATGTATTCCACTACAATGACACCCCTTAAGCTGTTTTCCTTTCAGCTTAATACATTTCATGCAGGTATCTGAAATTGTTACATGATACGATGAAGAATAACAGCATTGCAGGAAATAAGGTTATAAATCATAATTTGCACAGAGCGGTGCGGCAGTATCACTTCCTTCATTAGTGTTACCTACTAACCCTCAAAAGTGATGTTTTCTGCTTGTTTACACTGTAACAATTAAAATAGAAGGAAATTATCTTTTAATTATCTAGTCTTTTTGTGAGATACTCTCTTTCAATCTGGCAAGCCTTTAATCTGATCTGATCTGATCTTTGTTTTTTTGTTTTGAGGACGAAATTATCAGAATTTGCCACGTTTTTAGCATTAGATCATTGAATATATTTATTCAAGAGCAGAATGATATATTGAGTCAGGCCAGTGAAATCGTCTGTACTTAATAGTTTTGGATGGACATTTTAAACACGTGTATCAAGTCAATACATAATTTCTGCAGTTTTTCCACTTTTTCAGTATGTTTTGTTGTATTTTTGAGAGAAACCCACCCCTAAATGACAGTCTCTTTCGTCATATAGTCAAAGGTCTAGACATGTGCAACTAGAGGAGAGGTGGAGAGAGGGTCACTGGAGAGACGTGCTCAGCAGGAGACAGCAGGAGTTTCATTAAAACACATACATTTCTAGCCGCCTTCAAAAGAGCTCTCTTTTCTGTTGACATTGAGGATTTCAGTAAATGATCACATTATATTGAATCTGAAGCAAAATCTCACAAACCCAGGCTAAATCCATGCATCCTTAACTGTTTCCAAGTCTTGATATTCCAAGAATGATGATCCATATCCTGCTGAAATGCTTGACATTGCTGTCATATTGTCTGTTTTATAGAAAATAGAATCAGACAATTTGCCTCCCCTTTATTGAGGACTCGGTCATTATCAGAAAAAGAAGTGCTTGGTTAAATATTAATGCTATGAGAAAAGCCATTCTTTGTCAGGGATTATGAATTATTACACAAAGATAATGAATCAGGGGAACGATACCGATTGCTTCTAAATTGAGAGATTAGTTTACCAAAGGTCTGGTTGGATGGAACTTCTTCTTTCATCACTTTTGAAAGAATTTTGCATGCAAATCATCAGAAGATTAACTTAAGAATGGCTGCCATGGGAGCAGCCAGTTCTGAATCAAGAAACCAGCTAATGCCCAGCTGAACTAAACGATTATGTGTCAGAGAAGACACTGGGCTACCAGCGAGATAAAATAAATGTTGAACAGTTAATAACCTGAGATACCGGAGTATGTAGTAATTGTTTTAATTCCTCATCATTTAATAGCCTCAACTTGTAGAAAAATCATTGCTTTGTTTTACATGTCTCATTAAGAATGCCATATAATGTTGTCATTTATTATGTAAGACATTATAAGACACAGTGTCTGCGGTGCTGAGAGGATCAAATTCATGTTTTTTTTATGTTGTAATACATTCTTGTATCCTAGCAGAGATCTATAAGTAAGCAATTCGTAGGTTGACAAAAAGTTTACACAACAGACACTGTACAGCAAAGAAAACACTGATCTGTTTGTTTAAGCATCACAATCTGCCCAATATTAGCAACACTGATTCTACCAATGGCGCAAGTTTGGGGCAGGACTCTTTGTTTGACTGACTAATGGGAACACTGTACTACCAAGACGGTTCAGTCATATTACTATAAATGGGAGAAAATGCAATGCAATGCACAATATGGCAGAAAGAGCCACCCGGCAATTGGTAAAGCCATCACGTCCTGACACTCGCGCTTGGGACTGCACATGCCACAGCCATACAAATAGTAGGGCTGTAACCCCGTTGTCCTGGCCAGATTGCCCTCCTGGCCTTTGTCAATCATGGCCTCCTAATAATCCCCAACCCCTTGATTGGCTCTATGACTTTCTCTCCTCTCCACCTATAGCTGGTGTGTGGTGAGCGCACTGGCGCCATTGTCTTGTGGCTGCCGTCGCATCATCCAAGTGGATGCTGCACACTGGTGGTGGTTGAGTAGAGACCCACCCCACATGATTGTAAAGCATTTGGGTGTACAACAATACACAATAAAGCGCTATATAAATGCATCATTCATTCATTCATTCATTCATTCATGCGCAATGGCTGGATCAACTTGAAAAATATGCCTTTTTAATGCTATTCGAGTGTGAGAAACCAAATCCATGGGTCAGTCCATGTCAGATTTTTTTGCTGGATTTGAAATATTTAAATGTGGATTTTCCAAGCAGTTTTTGAGAGTTCAGTATTTCCCCATTCGAGTAGATAGGTCTAGGTCTTAAATGCCCGAAATAGCTACCTGGAGGTGTTGCCAATTTGGCTGCAAAATGAACAAATTTTCCTTGAAAGGGGACTTTCCTGTTGATATGAGTGACAGATTATTTGGGAACCTGTTTGAACCAGTCATTATTTTTGCAATTCTCTTTGTTGATGCTACAGGCACAGAAATTACACACTTGAGCTTTATTCGGCTTTCAGAATATGTATCAATCCTTTTTGAGATTCAACAAACCTCCTTATTGGCACTGTAATGATTTTCAATATATCCCTGTCTTTTCCTTAATCTCCCTATATTTCAGACTGTCATATTTTCCTCTTTCTTTACAGGAACATTTCCGGCCCTGGCAATGACCTACATCAAGATTCCTTTTACAATATGCAAGCCTCACAATCCTCAAAATCTTGGAGCAGCCATTTAGACCACAGGTGCGCTAGGAGCCTCAGGTCAGGCGGCCCTAGCCAAAGTCCTCCTGCTCCTTACCGTCCCTGCTCTATCCCAATCATCCCCTCTGTCCACTCCTACCAGGATGAGGTCTCGTGTATGCAAACCGCCCCTACTGATGGAAGCAGCCGCTCTAGTCCTCTGGAAAGCACAGCTGATGCTCCGGCTGTCAATCAACAGTCCAGTGTAATGGTCTCCAACCGAGTGGCTGGTAGACGAGAGGAAGTGGCCTCACTACTCGACGAGGCTCAGGAACAACTCAGAGCACTAGCACATGCCCAGAGGCAACAGGAGGACATCAGTAGCTCTGTCCCTCAGGGGGCCAAAGAGACTGTGTGCATCCTTTTAGCAAATGGGGGTGGACAAGGGGGAGTGGCCTCTTTTGGGCCCACAGAGACTCATTTAGTGAGCCCCAGTGACATGCACAAAGATGCCACAAAGACTGGCCAATGAGAAGCGGTTGACAGGACTAACCACAAATGTCCCGTGTGTCTTGGGGCTTCAGGATACTCTGCCAAAATTGGGATACCACTGCAAGCTACCATTAAATTTCTGAGGACCTGCTGTGAGTAGAAGTGTGGGAGAGTGACAGTCTCGAACATGTGAAAAGAGTATTTATTTATATGCATTTATTTAAGGAGAAACTTCTACTTAGAAAAAGAAACCAAATAGTCTGTCATCTCCACTGTGTTTTTAACTGTATAAAATATACATAAATATATATAAATGGATATAAATATATGAATTCAAACTGGTGACCAAGTACAAAAAAGGAATATGGGATTAAGAAACTTTCTTTTGTAACGTATCAGCTCCACATCCTTAAAGATGCGATGCTCGGTGGTTAAAAAACAAATTACTAAAAGAAAAGTTTTTCCACTCATTTCCAATCAAGCTATCTTCAATCTTGTGTTTTGCACCTGCAGCAGTTGTGTTTACTATCACGGTCCCTGTCACTGTCCTCTACCTTTGCCAAGGAATATGGCTCCATCTGCCTTTGAAAACAGTGGAACGTGGATTACAATTGGACTAAACTTCTAAACGCTAATCGTATCCAGGCATGAGGTAACTGATAGTTAAGTACTGCCTCCAAGACATCGATTGGAAGAATTTGATGTGTCCGTCCGTTTGTGGAGCAATCTGCATTTAGTTTTTCTGTGCCTTGGCACGTTCACTCCTTCATTTGGGTTTGGATATGAGTAAAGATAAGCTAATGGAACAGAGCACATCATACTGCACACCACCTGAGATGCACAAACAGACCGTCGACGCCTCTCTGGATGGACCAAGGAGATTCCTGCACGGGATAACAGAGAGCAAGCTTGGCCAACACAAGGAGCTTCTGTGTTTTGTTTTGTTTTGTTTTTTCTTTTTGTTCTTATGGCATTATCTGCTGCTTTCTGGGAGCTGCACTCACTATGAGTCTGTATGCTACCTTTGAATTGGGACATGATATTTCTATGAATTAACAACCAAATGTGGTAAGAAAGAAAAATTAGCAATGAATCTTTGGTCAAGATGTTTCTTTGTTTCCAATGTTTTTTGTTTTGTTCTGATCCCCAATTCACACAACTGTGCATGTTGATGGTATTGATTTGCAGAACCAAGCCATGACAGTTAAAATTATTTATAGAAAAGCCCCACAAAGAAGAAACTGCATTATAATTGACCTGCATCTGCTGATTTCAACCGAAGTCCTGGTATAACAACACGAGTGGTCTGCTGAGATTTATAGTTCAGTCCTAATAGACCCATTTCTGAGAAATGCTCAGTGACTGCATTATACTGAATTTACTTTTTTTTACGTGTTGTTGTTTCTACTCAAGCATTTATTTAAGACCTCCACCTGTAGTTTGGTTTTAAGACCTTCTTTAAAGCGCGTTGCATTTGTCCTCCATCAGAGTTTGTCTACCATGCCATCCAAAACTCAAGGCTGAGATGAAATGAAATATCTCCTGGTAAAAGAAAGCAAGGTAAAGGTTAGCCTGTGGCAGAAAGGAGCTGTGAGGGCAGACAGATAAGACTCTCACTTGATCTTATAACACCTTCCCCTGGCAAAAGCACTGACCTCATCAGTGATTTGCAGTATCTATCAAGATAATCAAGCATCCGAAGTAATGTGACAGTATTGCTGTAAGGGAAAGACAGGATAGATTTAGATCTCAAAGCTACACGATTTCTTTATCAAACCATTTAAATTTTAATAATAGAAAATATTACATTGCATTAGTTGTCAGGGGCGATTCTAGGATTTCAGTTGGGGGGCTTCAGTTTGAAATGAGCTGTTGGTAGACTGTCATTTTTATTTTTTAAACCAATTAAAATGGTATGTTTGTTAATATGAGCATTCGTGATTTTTTTTTTATTCTATGTATGCTCACATTATGCATCTCATTTTATTGGCATGCAGTAGATAAGCAGAAAAATCACACATGCAACAAAGATGATACCATGCACATTGCCACAGTGATCTATAAAATGGCAGACTAATTCATATCCAGGGCATAAACTGTCCATCTGTTACAGCTATTAATGTTCATTTTCATTTGAAATGGTGTGAGAAGGTTTCATTTGAGCTGGACCATATTTTGTACACTAGTGCTTAAGTATATTCAATTATGTTTTTGCACAATGTATGGTATTTTATGCTGTCATTATTCCAGAGTGTAAGGTATGTGACTTGATGAATTTATTACAGAAGACAGTATATTGCAAGACGTTTTGACAGAAAGTGCAAGCTGCAACTGTGCAAGAAGGTGTAACACGAGCACAACAAAACTTTATGGTTCTGTATAACAGCCCCTTGATGTACTTTAATGTGCAATTTCAAAATTGAGAAATTAAATTTCTGTTTATTCTTGTATGTGAGAAACTGCATCATTGAGCTCCCAATTGAAATAGTATTTTCTTTTCCTTTAGTTCATTTTTTAATTTTTTCAATAAAGATGAATCTTCAGTGTTAATAATGTTAGAATGAGTGTTTTTTAACTAAATTAAATATAAATCATCAGATTCAAATAGTGTTAGTTTAGTATTATTTATATACTATGTTTTTCTCAGTTGCTTTTGTACATTTCTCAGATTGCAATTGAAATTCTCAATTCGCCACATCTCGTCACCTATGCACATCACAAAAGCAATTTCTCATTATTTTGAACAAATTGCCAATGCTTTGGTATGTTCATGCAATTATGTACAATTGTCTGTTGTTTCCTGCATTATCAATTGCTTATATCATGTTTATCAATATATTATACTGGTTCTGTTAGTCTAACCCCGCAATACATTTTAGGCATTAGTTCATTGCATAAGTCATCAAATGCAAAATGGATGTTGACAAATTGTCAAGCATATTTTCAATACATTTCTATTAGATTTTTTTGTAGATGTGTCCTGAATTGATGAATTGCATAGGAAAATCTTGAATTTCACTAATGAAGGGGTGTAAGTAAAGTAAAGTGTTAGATCAACCAATGATCAGCCAGTTCTCTAAAACAGCTCATAGGTGCATCTCAATGGGAAAGCATATACAGACAGAACTTATAATTTGTTACAATTTCTGACAATGCAAGAACAAAGAAACAAACAAGGTCAGAAAGAAGAAGAGTAAGGATGCGTGGTGGAAGGGTAGGGAGGCAAAACGGACATAAGCACGTTTCCAATGAAATAAGGGCCACTTTTGTGACCCATGTTCTCAATCATGACCATACAATCGCCAAATTGGGTCAAAAGATGTAGCTGAATGTGGAAAGAACAACTGTTTCCTCAATCATTCAAGCATTTCGTAGACCAAACATGTAATTCAACAATGTGCATTTTACTGCAATACTGTATACGTACTGTAATGTTTCACATACTGTAGTCCACTTGCATTTTATGTTATACAGTAAATATACTGGTAACACTTTACAATAAGGTTCGTTAGTTAACATTAGTTAAATACTTTAGTTAACATGAACAACAATTCTGTGTTTTTCTGTCAATATGGGGTGCTGTGTGTACATTAATGAGGAAAAAAAATTAACTTCAATGATTTTAGCAAATGGCTGCAATATAACAAAGAGTGAAAAATTTAAGGGGGTCTGAATACTTTCCGTACCCACTGTATATATACAGAGAGAGAGAGAGAGAGAGTTGAACTTTTTCAGGATTTTGAAAGATCCTGGATAACAAGTAAAAATAAAATTAAAAATCCCAAAGCAATTGAAAAGTAACTGTGTGAGCTTATAGGGAAAATATGCTTTAGCTTCTCCATCTTACTCCATCTTCTACCATCTTACATGTCTGTTTGTTTGTTTTTTCCACACAGTCCGGTAATATATCTTCCACCAGTTGCGTGGTATAGAAGAATCAGGATTTCATTTCAACAGCCTTGAGCACTCCCTGAAGTGTTGGGGAATGCCAGACCCTTGATGTACTGAGTGAGAGAGTCAATGCTGCTGCTGTGAGAGTCAGGCTATTGATGCAGAGTGTGATTGCAGTCTGAAACATGAGGCTGTCATGAAGGTCAACAGTGACTGCTATCAAAGAAAATCCTTAGTGTAGCAACTGAAGAAACCATAAAGGGAAGGATTTGTTGATGAGAGTATAACCTTGCTGTGGGTGTTTCAACATTTATTTTATTTTCTGGCTGAATAATTAAAACATACTTGTCACTCCCAAAAGTTGCATTGCAGCCAGCCAAACAGAAAGGAACTACCATTTTTCTTTAGCTGTTGATGTATTTGAGCATAATATGCAGGGGTGCCGTAATGGTGGTGGTGGGGGGATATGGCTTTAGGATGAATTCAATCATAATATGCAGGGTCTTATCTAGCGAAACGATCGGTCATTTTCTTTAAAAAATATATACATTTATATACTTTTTAAAAACAAATGCTCGTCTTGCTCTAGCTTAGCTTGCGCAGGCGTGTCTTTACATATTACATAATCCAGTTGGAAAGGTCACGCACGGTTAGCTCTTCGTTTGTGTACTCCGGTTCCTCATTTTCTCCTCCCAACTTCAAAATCGACCGACATCGTTGTTTGACCTTTTTTTTGTAAAGAGCATTTGACTTTCTTTGCACGTTCGCTTTGTAAACACTGGGTCGTGCTTCTGCCAAATTCACGTGTGACCTTTCCAACGTGTTTACGTAATGCATGAATGTCGAGCTAGTGCATGACTAGCAAATTGTTATTAAAAAAAGTATAGACATTTTTTTTTGTTTTTTTTTTACAAAATGACTGATTGTTTCGCTAGATACACTCTTAAAAATAAAGGTTCTTCAAAAGGTTCTTCAAGTGATGCCATAGAAGAACCATTTTTGGTTCCACAAAGAACCATTCAGTCAAAGGTTCTTTAAAGAACCATCTCTTTCTTGCGTTTTTGTAATAGAACCTTATTTCGCCACAAAGAACCTTTTGGGAAACAGAAAGGTTCTTCAGATGTTAAAGGTTCTTTATGGAACCATTTAGACAAAAAGGTTCTTCTGTGGCATCGTGAAGCACCTTTATTTTTAAGCGTGTAAGACCCTTATTCCTTGGCTGGGATCGTGTAGAGCCCTTTGAAGCTGCACTGAAACTGCACTTTGGACCTTCAGCCCGTTGGTTCCCATTGAAGTCCATTATACAGAGAAAAATCCTGGAACGTTTTCCTCAAAAACCTTAATTTCTTTGCGACTGAAGACAGAAA